AGTCTTGATAGCAGTATTGATAACAGTGCTTCCCCTATATGCATTCAGGAGAGGCGGTGTGTCGCTGCTGAATTGTGACGGCAGCTACTAAGATTTCCCACACTCATTATTACATCAATGCGCTATTAAGTTTCACTCACACGCTATGCGAGCATGGGAATACTAATCGCTTGGCTCGCTTCCTCTCCTTACTCCATGTTTGAGTGTCCGAGCGGCAAATGGCGGTAAACACAAGCAAAGGAAAATATTCTGGCAGTAGCCTAAATGTCAAAAGCTGTAAAATGAAGACACAAAAGGCAAACATGGACAATCATATCTATAATGATTCTGAGGTCATATTAACAGGGTTTACGGGGTGATGCCCAACCATGCTGTGCCATAAATGTCAAATCACTGTGGAGAGCATCATAACCAACCAAAGTACTTTCCCCAGATCTAATGGTTGTAGTTCCTCCAGTAGACTGATCTTTGGGTGTTGTTTATTATCTGCTCTAGCTTTTCCTTTTGACAAGTGTGACCCAAATATGGTACCCCATGGAGGTTCAAGACGGAGCTGAACACCTGTTTTCTCTCAGCTGGACAGGTAGGCTGGAATAAAATACAGCTGCTCGTTACTTTCTATAAATTGAACTACAAGACATTCTGTTAGCTTCCTGCTCAGCTTCCACTCTGAAGGGGAGATGTTTGTTAACCTGCTTTACTTCTCCAGCTGTTCTGGAACAGACTTTTGTTGGTCTTGAGAAGCTGAAGCATTTATTACCTGACACAGGACACCATACTTTAACTGCCTCCTCTGAGATTCACTGTCACTTTCTGTCACTCCGACAATCACACACTCTAAGACCTCCAGATTAAAGGATCTGCTCTGATAACAGCACCTGTCAGACGTCCTGCAGAGTTTCCGCAGGGTCTTAAAAAATCAACAATTTCAAAATCAAAATATATGGTCTTAAGAAGTCTTAAATTTGCTGAAGTTTGTGTTCTAGGTCTTAAATAATTTTAAACGGGTATTTATTTTCCAACTTCCATGTAATGCTACCTCTAATGCTCATTGAAATAGCCCCACAGCGCTCAAGACTGTTTTTTACTCCCGTGGTGGTGTAGTTCTGTCTGTCGCTGGTCCAAATATAATTTGCTGTATTATGACTACAAAGACCAACAGGCAGCTTTTGTGTTATTGCCTTAAGTCTTTCGGATTGTACCACAGATATTAAACGGATTTATTCTTCAGCTATGGGGAAGTGCAACCTTATTGATTCTTGGATGGAAAAAGAGATCTTAGGGCTTAAAACCAGTCTCTGGCAACACAGCCTATTTGAAGCCTACTGTCGCTGCTTAATGAATGAGCACCGCAATTAAAATTTCACATATCGTTAATGATTTTCAGTAAATTACAGTAACACTCAAGGCATGGCTGCCTCTCTCTCCTCGTTCATCAATTGACAGCGATGTGAGAGAGAGTGACAGAAAGTGAAGGTGAAAGTTGGCAGACGAAAAGATCAACATTAAGTTGTCAGGTTACACCTCTGTCCTCTACTGTACATCTTGAGAGTTAAATTAAATTAAAAAAGGACGGTGTTGACCACGGAGGAGCTGAGGTTAGTAACGTTGATGTAACGTAGGGATGCAAACTAAAATTAATCCTTTTAAGCTAATGAGGATATTATTCTTGTCTGTACAAATGAAATGCTTGTAATAATACAGAAGGGAAGTGGTTCTCATGTTGCCTATTTATGTTAATTTCTACAAATGTATAAAGCAGTAAATTAAGACACAAAAGGCAAACATGAACTGTCCTATCTGTAATGATTCTCAGGTCATATTAACAGTGTTTTCATGCCAGTATAAGGTGGTGAGGCTCAAATGTGTTGGTGCAAGGCAATGAATACAAAATCACTGTGGAGCGCATCAAAACCAAATTAATTTTCCCAGATCTGAATGGTATAATTCAACCCCAGTAGACTTATTTAGCAAGTTTAGCTTTTGGGGTGTAATTTATTCCAAATCTTATTCACAGATGTGGTAATATTCCACAATTATGTGGAATAGCATATTTCTTTATTGGAAAAGAAAATTTTCTTGGGGGAGGACCCCCATTCTGCCATACAAAAACGCCATCTTAATTTTTTACATTATACCACCCAGTGAAAGCATGTTTCCCCATGGACATTATTTCTATTATTATTATATTTAAATGTACTTGCTTTGCGCCTGCCTTGACTTCTCCCTGCACTCACTCACACACACACCTTTACCTCTGGTCTCTCACTGCAAACACACCGGCTTTCCCTGCTTCTCTCTGTCTCCCTGTCTGCTCCCCTGAGTTTATCCATCAGCAGCAGGTTATGTTTTATAAAGTCACCGAAAAGACACAGAACTCTTTTTTTAAATTTTTCACCGGTGATCTATTTTTCACGTCAGCAGGTCCACCGCATGCCAGCTTCTTAATTATATAGCTCATCAATGTCATCATCAATCCCGGTGTTTCATTGTTGACATCGTCTGATGCCAATTTTGTAGACATCACTCAACCCTAATTTGAATACATTGATTTACTCTGCAAGTAATTTTGTGACTGCATTTCCTTTGTGCGTTTCTTTTTTATAAGTCAGTATATAGGTCTTAAATTTCATTCATAATGGTCTTAAAAAGATCTTAAATTTGACCAGGTGAAACCACTGTTCCTTTACCTCGTCTGCCTGACTTCTTATTTAGCCATCTTTATTTAGCTCATGATTCCATATAACTCCACATTTAAAGCTCCCTTTTATATTATTTAAGTAAAAGTGCTGCTGATGGAATAAAATTATGCATATCCACTTTTTCCACAAAACACAGTAAAGTAAGTAGTAAAAGGAAATTTTATTTAGCTCAAGATTCAAGTTACTATCACTTTACACCAAAAAATCTCATTAAGAATCTGGAAACATTATTGCAAAAAAGAATGAAAACAAAATGATGATCAAAATTGTTGCTAGTTAATTATCTGATCTTGCACTCAATTACTTTGTCTATTTAGCTTTATGCAAGATGTGCCTTATTTTGTGTCTGTTAAATGTAGAAATGACAGAAGATGTTGTGAGAAGATGATACTAATAAATTAAACTTGAATTGTAATATTGGAGTTGTATTCATATTTTTCAGGGCAAAAATTGGCATTTTATTTATTATTTATTATTTATTGGCATTACTAGTAGTAATTTTGTTGAGTGAGTTTAATATTTGAGTCTAGCACAATACATTTTTTGAGTAGATTTCCCTCAGAGTATAAGTTGTGCAGACCAAACACTGAGCCAACATTCACCACCATGGAGATCAAAAATACATACAAGAGCAGAAGGGAAGAGAAATATAAGTGGAAAAGTTAGGGATCATTAATGTCAAGTTCAATATAGTTATCCAATATAGTGATCCTAGGGGTTAGGTAATGATTGCATCCATCATGTGAAGTTAAAGTAGCTACTCCCACTTCCTACAAGTATAAATCCAGGATTTATGAGACATGCATTTAAAATACATAATTGAAACCCAGACTTGTTGAGATCAGAACAGAAAACTGATCCATGCCCAAGGTCAAGGTCAGAACCATGTAGGTTTCCATACATTTTTAGCATAAATTGCTTAGTTTTAGTGTTTGTTTAGCCTAGGCTAAATCGTTTACCGATTTATGTTATGTTCTAGCTAACTATTTGAAGTAGCAGCCCTCACAGTTAACTTTAGTTTTAGTGACAGACCCATTAATGGGTCGCTGATTAATCCGGTCGATATCTGGCATTTTGAGATAATCAGCATCGGCTGATACCTGCACTCATATGTCACCTTAAATGACAGCAGATTCAATCTAAAACCATTACAGGCCACTGTTAAATATATATTGTTAAAGTGTAGAGAAAACTGCAGATGAATGACATCACTTCTGACAAACTGTACCACACTCTCCCTTAAACACGAGTCACGTTCTGAAATCTACATCATAACCCAATGTATTTTCTATTTCATTAATTTATAAAAATTCCATCTAAAACAACACGTTACTGGCTAAGATAACCATGTATATTAGACACTATTCTGCATGGAATAATGGAATTACACATGACTTTTCTTTGATTTGATATCAGCATTATAGAACAGCTATCGGCCACGCTGCTCTCTAAATTGCCCATCCCTGTATTTATCCAATTGATCATAGCTGTCATTTTACACTGGGGATGCTGGGGACATGTCCCCACCACTTTTTGAAAGCATTTGCTAAAAGTTTTCTGAAAATTAGCTTACAACAAGCAATGTTAAATAGCAAAAAAAGGTTTAGGTTTACTTGCACAATACAAACAAAACGTGAAATACAATGTAAATATAGAAGAAACAGATCTGCGTTGTCCAAAAAAATAAGCTGCTAATTACTGCATTATTTTTGATAATATTTTTACATTCTGAATTGTCACCGGCCACATGAATTTTCTTTCACTTCAATAAATAAAGACATTTCCACCATAAATTGGTGCATGTCTCTAGAATGAAAATACTGTGCATTCTCACATCTCAAGTGTTTTGTCACATCCTTAATATGAGTCCTTAAATGTCCCCACCACTTTTTAACAAAAAGTGATGCCCTTGCCAATGATCCTATCATACAGGTAGAGCAGAGTTTTTACTTCCTGGCAGAAAGGTTGTGGGGATAGTGCACTTCACATTTTCTGAAGATCTACTCTCAGATTGGTGGATAAAAAGAAAAAAGATGAATCTAAAGCTGGAATTCAACATTTTTACATCGTAAAGTGGCAGATGCAGCAGACTTGTCTTTGGTCCTTCAAACTCCGAAGCAGGAGGTGGCGGTAATGACCCCATAACTTTGAAATAAAAACGAAGAGGCAGCAGCAACCGGAAGCATGCAGCTGTCAGTTATGAAACAGACCAACGCTGCAGTTCGTATGGAACAAAACACGACTGGTCTGCAAGTCATTTCATTCATTCCTATGAGGTGATCACTGTTTGAGAGCAGAATGGATGCTGCCGGTCCCAGCTCAGAACAAAGTCCCAAACCCGAGCTTTCTGCAGCGATGCGAGCTAAAATCGAGCGGAACCGGCAGCGGGCGTTGATGTTGCGGCAAGCCAGACTAGCGAGCCGCCCTTTGTCCGCTGTGGATGGCGCAACCTCGGCCAAAATCTCCAAGACCATCGACTCCGGTGCCGGCTTCTTCATCGAGGAGGAGGAAGGCGGAGAGGAAGAGCTGAGGACCAAGAAGGTTGTGCATCAGCCAGGTCGGTGTGTGTGTTTCGTGAGTGGAGTGTGTGCATGCATGCATGCTTATTTCCATGTGTATTCAGTGGCTGTGTGTTTGGTTTCCAGCTCCAGTGATTGAGCCGGACTACCTGATGTGCGATGATTGTCAAAAACCGTTCATGGACTCGTACCTCAGCAACAGCTTTGACCTTTGTGTCTGTGACAAGTGCAGGTACACTCACATATTCTTGTACTTCTATCTTTGTAACGTTAAGGACCATCATTGACATAAATCATGCATTCCCTGGAGCCTTACCCTAACCTTAACCATCACAACTACAATGCTGTCCTTTGAAGTTTTGAGGACCGGCCAAGATGTCCTCTCTCTGTTGTCTTGTTCCCATCCTCACTATGCAGGAAGTACAAGTGCACACACAAAGCTGCAGGGGTTTGTTGCTTAAAACCTTTCTAAGCATGAATATGTTGAAATTAGTTTTGAATTTTTCAGATCTTACGTAATGCAGTTTTTTGTTTTCTTTGTTCTCAAACTCGACCCCATGCAGTGTTAAAAATTATAGCTCATATGAGTTTTCTGTTTTTACTTATGTCGTAATTTTGACAGTCAGTCAAATCTCCTTCCCTGTCAGAGACAACGAAGAGAAGCATAAGCTAATTTCCAGAACTGAGGCCAAGCAGCACTACCTGCTGAAGGACTGCGACCTGGACAAGAGAGAACCTCCGCTCAGGTTTATACTGAAGAAAAACCCTCATAACCCACGCTGGGGAGACATGAAGCTCTACCTCAAACTACAGGTATCGACTGGAAGGCTACGAACAAGTACGAGAGTGTGGGTGGCTGCATTGTAATAGGCAAACACTGCAGAATAAATTTTCCCATGTTGACTAGTACTCGTGTTTAGCAGGATTAGCTAATGCTACTTTAATATTCAAGAAATATCCTGTGACTGAAGAATCCATAGTTTTCAACTGCTCTAAATAAGTGAAGGTTAAGCTAAAGCCTAAAAAGCGTAGCTGTTATGCGTATTTATGTGTTTTGTCAAATAACATTTCACTTTGAACTAATATATAAATGATGACAGGTTATCAATCCGTGAACAAACCAAACCAAAGTAGTGATGAAATATCAAATAATCAATTAGTAAAATTGACAACAATTTTGAAAAACAACTCCTTTAGTAAAAAATACAGTTGTTGGTTCCAGCTTCTCTGTGAGGATTTGGTGCTTTTCTCTGTCTTGTAGCATTGTAAATTGAATAACTATGGGCTTTTAACTGATGATCTGACTAAACAAGACATTTTAAGATGTAACCTTGGGCTCTCAGACTAAATTATAGTATTTATATATGTATAATATTTACTTAATTAAAATATAGTTGAATCAATAAGCCACAGACATTTTAGTCAAAGGTGAAATAACGTATCTTAACTATGTATGGTTGTGTTGGGGTACACAGGTGGAGAATAGGTGTATGGAGGTGTGGGGTTCAGAGGAGGCTCTGGAGGAGGCCAGAGAAGCGAGGGAGGAGAACAAAGAGGTGCAGAAACAAAAACGCTTCAACAAGAAGGTCAAAGGTTTGTTTCCGGTTTTAGCCAAAGTAGTCACTCAGTAGGCATTGTGTAAATATCAATGTTTGGATGTAGAATGAGCGTCCATTCTGTAAAGCTCAACGTTTCATATATCTGGCTTTGTGCGTCAGAGCTGCGCAGGGCGGTGAGGAGTAGCATGTGGACCAAAGACATCAGCGGTCACCAACATCAGTATGGACCAGAGGAGGTGGTGGATCCAGAGGAGGACCTCTATAGGAAAACCTGCACCACCTGCGGGCATGAACTCACCTACGAGAAGATGTAGATACACACTAAGACTGACTTTTTAACCTACAAGAGGATGTTTGGTGCTTCTGCAGGGAACCATGCCTCTCCCTCCAGTCGTACTTTATTTTTCTACTGGTATTTGTTTGTATAGCTCATTAATACACTCCATCCTGATCACATGCAAGAGGCCAACATCACTGTCCTGTGTGTCACACACAGGCTTTTGTATGTCAGTAGAAATTTCTATTTTAAACAGCCATTACTGACCTGAGCAATACTATTTATTTTTAGCAATAACTCCTCGCCTGTCCAGTCGACTGCCTATTGCTACACTTCCTGTTTCATATATAGCATGTAGAGATTCCCTCTTGCAGTGGGCAAATTAAGGCAGGCATAAAACTGAAACTTGGCAATACTGTCCTCTGTAAAATATCTAGTTGTGGAGCCTACTTTATAGCTGAATCCAAATGTTCACTTCACATGACCACTGTGGCTATAATCAACTCGACAGCATTATGGGGAACTACTCCATGCTGGGTTTTCTCTCACTATTCACTCTGGTTTGGAAATTGATGTCCGTCATTGTCCTGATATTCACTTGGTGTTAATAAAAGGACTGGTGCTGTGAGTTTGCTCAGGAGATATTTATTGTTTTATTAAGAGGCTGAGAAACAATGTGTATAACATCTCAAGCTCTGATTAGGCTTTATGTAACTGCAATTCACCTTAGTTAGAATGTGTTCTGGTTGCCATTGTTCAGCACTTATGTGAACAGGATGGGCATGTGTAGTGTGGTATGTCAGCCACCCCTAGTGCATCCTTTTTAAAGTAACTTATTGTAAGTGTATACACATTAAGATCTTTGCCAGGTTTGCATTTTTTAGTTTATAAGCTGCAAATTTCTTAAATCACTTCAGATATTTTAATGTGAAGCCATGTCTCTGCTTATTTAAGTGTTAAAGAAGCCTAAGCTACTTTGTTAAAAACAAGTTGTTTCAACAAGAGCAAATAAGACAAGACATATGCGAGATCTTGACTTTTAAGCCAACATGGATGAGAATTACTGGCTAACTCCATCTGCCGAGGAGGATCATGTGATACAATCTCCAGAACAGCTACATGTTTACACAATTACATTCTGCAAGGTCAAAAATTTAAATTCAAGTCACTTTAAAAAAAAAAAAAAAAACAGTCATTTAATAAATACAAGACAGCAAAATGTAACATGTCAGCTGGTGAAGGCTGCTGATCTGATATTACATCAGTATAGTTACTGATGTAATAAGTTAAAACTGTACACTCTAAGAAAGGCCCACAGCCTGGCAGTTGAGACTGCTGTAAACCCCAGCAGGCTCAAGCTTGTAGACAACCTCACAGTGTAAATCATTCTCTGACATGTCCACAGAGATAATACTGAACATCTCATACGGAGGAATCAGTACTTCATCCTCTTCTGCGTCAAACTGAGTAGGATTTGAGGTAGGCACCGAAACGTGTGTATCTCAAAGCAGGTCCTCCGTCCAAAATGACGCAGGTCCTCTGTTAGGGAGCTGGAGGCAAATGAGCCAAAGTGCATGGTTTGTCCAGATTCCCCACTGAAGAGCAGTTTGCTTATCCGGTAGGTGGTGTAGCGGTTTCTTTGGTTGACTTTTAAGAGCCTGATTGCGTCTGACAGTAGGAAGTGCAGGGCATGGAATTCAAACGAGGTCTTGTAGGAAGCCCTCCCCTTGCGGACTGCTCGGTTTAATTTGTCATATGCATTCGCTGTGTAGGCACAGAGCCCTGAAGTGGTTCCAGGACAGTGAGTCATAGATGTCCTTTGTCTTTGTGGCTTTGAGGGCACAACGTTTTGTGTATGTTGAGTGCAGCCCTTCTCTGGTGCTTCTTGGGAGGTAGTGACGTTTTACTTTGATTAGCATCTTGTGGGAGCAGCTGTAATATATGTCGACGGAGTCCAGAGACAAGCTCAGTGGGATTTGGATGAGTCTAGACCGATCTGACAAGACCTGCACCAAGGCACCAGACACCCCCAGTGAGGCATTTGTGATTTTCTGCACAGCAGCCTGGATGGAGATCATCTGAATGTTTACAGGATCTTCAGATACCAAAAATGGGTTCACTGTAGCCTCCTGTGGAGAAGACGTCTCAGCATCCACCTTTTGGACATCAGAACTTTTCAAAAGGGCCTTTGTGCTATCCTGTTTGGGCAACTGCAGAAAAAAAAATAAAAAAATAAGACTTTACTGAGAGATGGGTCAAGTTACATTGGTTAAAATAAAACTGAAGCATCCAGCATTTCCTACAATATGTTTTTTTCCTGGCAGTATGAAGACAGCTTTAAGAGGGACACTCCAGCAATTTAGTATTGAGCTTCAACAAAATGTAAGAGACTTACAAGAGACAGTTTTGTTTTGAAATGACACTAGAAGAGACCTAGATATCCTGACTCTGTCCCTAGTGGGCTCAAGCTTAAAAAAAAAACACATACATTTCCCATAATGTAATGTGATGTCTTTCAAACTCCATGCCCCCAGTTTGCTGTTGTGACATCGCCAAGCCTACTTTTCAGAATTGGGAGAACTCTACTGAAGACATTGCACAACTAATTTTGCAGGAGTGGTAGCCTACTCATGACAACTGGGTATTTGGAGGAGTGCCCCTTTAAAACTAAATCTAGACCTCCATGTTCCAAAATAAGATTTACAAGAATGTAGTTGAAGAGTTAACTGGAACCACCAAATTATGAAAATTTCACAGACTATTTGCTACCTGGTCAAGTTTTATCGAGGGGCCTAATTAGTCCTGGCTATAACCCAGATTGAGACCAGTTTTTACACATTTACAAAGCTGCACTTGCAAGCCATAGATCCTCAGCATCTCATGCATTTGGTATAAAACATCACTGAATAGGATTTTGAGGGTAATTAAGTTCAGGTATTTCAAGACTTGCTTTTGAAACTGTTGAACCAGCAAGGCATCACCATGACATCATTTCAAACACTGATATTCAAGATGCAAGACTGTTAATCTTTGGATATTATTGCATTTGTATGAGTTGTCACTATGTATTTATCTTACCATCTTTGCATTCAGGAGGTCCTATCCTTACAAAACAGGCAGCAGAGGACAAAGACTATCCTTGAACATGATTGAAGATGCCTAAGATGAAAAAAATTGCCTATTACAGTATACACATTAAATGGATTGATCAATTCACTGTAATCTTACCAGGTGCTGTAGTTCAGAGCCGGTGATATTTGTTCTGTATGGTGCCTGTCACCTCTTATATCAGATGGTATGGTGTGTACAGGGTGTAACAAACACCATCCCATCAATAACCTCCACTCATGTGGTTAGAAGAGTTTCCCAGATTTGCTTTTAGGTAGCCAGCAAGGCGTTTTCCTGTCCATTTCATCAACTCAAAGGAAGAAGTTCTAGGGTCGTGTAGATTGAATTTATTTTGAGTGGCCATAAGCAAGCATCTATTAAACCAAAATGTCATCTTTTTACTTCCAAGTGGAAAATTGAGGTTTACATTTTAGTGAAGGAAATGAAACACTAGATTTCATTGAAAGTCACCACTGTGAAATACACTGCTAACCAAGAGAGTCCCTTCTGTTTTTTGGGAAGTCCCTTTAACCATTTGCTCAACTCTGTCTTCATAAGTTAACTCAGGAAATCTAGATCGAGTTCAAGCCACTCCGTTTAATTCACTGTTAATTTGGAGTTCAGACAACTAGTTTGACAAACTTGAAATTTGTTTGCTAGCCATAGACAGCCTTTGAGATTGACCTAAATTGTTATCATTTTCCTCTGAGCTTTACTGATGGGACAGGCAACAGGGGAGTGAGGGGTTTGACACCCAAAGGTAGTGAGCTGAAAACCACGACGTTTACGACTGGCCATGTCCTGTAACCTTTCCCCTACAAGCTGCTCCTGACCAAGTTTAAAATTTTCCATTTTGAGCCAGTGTTGTTCATGTGACTGATTTACACATCAAATATAGCATATCTAGCTATAGCAAGTGCACTTTGGCTTTTATTTAGAATTCACCACATTACAAACAATTATAAAGTTTGGGTTTAAAATTCAAAGGTTCTCTGAACATCAGAGTTCTTAAACACAAATGCATCCTCTGTAGTTTCGACCTTCACTGCTTCGATGTCACCCTAGGACGACAGAAAACAAAAAAAACTTAGTCAAATTTCTAAACTGCAGTTGGAACACTTCTACCATGAGTGCAACAAGGGCTCCCTCACTTTCACATAAGTGTTAGAATTTTCAGTGAATTTAAAAAAAATTGTTTAACCAAATGCTGTAAAGCTGCATGAACCCTTAAATATAATCTGCTCATGCATCAAGTTGTCAAACCTGCACTCTAAATGTAGGTTGTTTGCCATGCATTTAGCTACTTACATCCCCAAAGTACTTCTCTATGAGGTTATGGGCAGCCTGGTACACCATATCGTTGTCATGGTTTTGCAGCATCTCTATGCGGTCCAGTCCTCCCAGCTCTTCAACCAACAGGCTAAGTTTCTCTGTCTCACCAAGCTTCTCTGCAGCCTGACAAGTTATTTACAGGAAGTGAATTGAACAGTCCAAGTTCTGGGTCAAACTGTAGCAAGTTTTAGACCAATTAGAAGTAGTTAATTCCCCTACCATGAAGATGTTGTTGATGGCATCCAGTATGACCAGAATGACTTTGGTGTCCTTGACCTGTAGCAGGTTGATTATTGCCTCCAGGGCTCCACTCTGCACCAAGTGGACCACCTGCTCCACAGTGCCCCCACTGGTGAAGTTTGTCACTGCCCAAACTGCCTCCCTTTGAGTCTTGAAGTCTCCCTTAGAAAAATGGAGAATTGTTCAGCTGCTCCTCACTCAAAGAGTCACTGTTGAGTGAAAGCCATGCATCTCCAAAATTTGAGATTCAATTAATTGAGAGATTAAGTGGTATGTGTTAAGATTCACTCATTGGATTTTAAAAATGATCTCAAGTTGGCCATTCATTTTTGCCACTGAGGTTGACATTTGAGATGCAGTTTTTAACAGCGGCTTTGTAAATTGTCTGGACTGTGTAGGCCAGCAGACTAATGAGGCGTTAACAAGTATTACAAACAAGTAATCTGAATTTCTTGTATACAAGTGTTCAGTAGCTGGATTAAAATGTCAGACTGCCTTTGAAATTGTTTTAAAGTAGTCAGTGGTTACTATGGTCCACAAAATTAAGAGGGGATTGGTATACACAATTTCATTTTCAACTTGTCTTTCCACAGCAGACTTTGGCTTGTCATATTAAGGGCACAGGTGTTACACCGACAGCAGTTTTCCTGTCCAATCTGGTTCACTTTCCAAGAACTATAATTGACAGCATAAACATTTTTGTAACTTCTTAAACTTAAAAAAAAAAAAAAAAACCAACACACAACATCAGCTTCCAATTAGCACCAGCATTGACCATTCAATTATATTTTCTCACTGTTTCTTTACTTTGTGCTTGTAAAATGTCCGTCCATGTCTAGTGTAATAGAAGCAGACATCCTTTCTCTGCCAAATATGTTGGCAGCCATTAATATACGACTAGTCTGCCAAAATGCAAAGTTGGGGGTACAATGGCAACTGCATTTGCCTTGCAGGTATTGCAGATTGCGAGCATTGAGTCTTCACTTGTTGTGAAGAACTTACACTGCTGACCACATTTTAGTGTGGCCTTCACCATAGCCCGTCGCTGTCCATGCAGTTGTGCACATGATATGATAATTTGTGCATCGCAGCATGTGCGCAAATTTGATCGGCAGGATACTTCATTCCATGTAGCCGCTTCAGCCATTAATTTGTGCTGGGTTTATTCATCCAACAGGGTTGAACAAGACGTGAGCTGTGGTCCCTTCATGCTACACAAACAACTTAGACAATGTTGGCTACACAAGCCAAGTAGCTACTGTTCATTACCTACTTACATTTCTGAGCTGTTCCACCAGAGGGGGGAGCAGGCCGC